ACAGTCTCTATAATATTTATCTCCTACCAATAACATGTAATCTATGTCGCTTTTGCACCAATTATTGGGATTTATCAGATAAAATGCCACACTAGCAACAGTTGCAATCCCTGTGCATTGCCGACCACGTGACTCTGGACTAAATCGTTCATTATCCTGATGAAAAGAACCATATAATATAGATACATTGTTACTCAAGGCAGTATAGATATTTGTAGGTACAGTTGATCGTTCAGCAATTGATTCTTCACTATTATGACCATGTGCAGGTGCGAACATCTTTATAGAGTGCATTATTCATTAGGAGCCACTGCTATGCTAATTAAAGTTTACATACATCTATTTGAAACTCCCTAGGACGTTCTAAATTTTCACGACTTTCTACTACAATCACTAATCCAGTTTGATTAGGTTCAAGCGGAAGTTGCTCCGCCAGCTCGACCACATCCTAAACAAAAATAATTGCCTGCCCTTTGCACCAGTCTTGGCTCAAACGATTTTGAACCTTTATTATTTTAAGAAATGGCACTACCTACTCTGCAAATAAAACGTTTCTCAATATCCGATAAGTCATCGATTTCTGTAGGCCTTGCAGCTACCGACATTTTATTCCAATAGGCCTACGGTGGAGTGTTGTTTTTTTAATATTATATGAGCATCGTGAACAAGTAATAATATTACCTAAAGCTACCAATTCATTAGGGAAAATAGAGCCTAAATTTGTAGTTTGCAATATCGTACGTTGCTGAGGATACAAACTTTTTTCGAATATTGAACACGGCAAGTCAGCATAAACATTAATCGCTTTCTTAAAATTTTCTGCATTACACTGGTTTCTTCGCTCGCAAGCCGCTTATCGCGTTCTCTCCTCGGGAGTTTCGTGAAGTATCACCATTGCAGAACAGTTACGAGCAGCATCCAAACGTAGCAAATGTTCGTCTTCGGTTTCATTTGAAAGTCGCTCTCTTATCAGACCTAAACGATGAGCGCGTTGTTCTTCACATTCTTGCGATAACCTATCGTTATTGTAGCTTCTCATCTTCGACAGTCTTTCCTCGTGCTGATCTAAACACTCCTGTGAACGTGTTAATCTAATTCTCTTTCTATTTACTTCCAAATTTTATTTTTCTCATTATTAGATTCTTTCATTTGAGCAGCATTTTTTGTAGGCCTACCCATGGTGGCATATAAAGCCTGTTTTTTTAAAGAATTTATATTATTATACAACAAATAATAGTTAAAGTAGGATTATATAACAGTTAAAGGCTAAATTAAGGTAGGTAGCTAATTTGAAAGTAGTCAAAAACTAAGCATGTAGTAATTGGTTGATTATATCCAAGAAAAATTATAAAATAAAAACTTTTTAACAAAAAAATTAAACCGCGGAAAAAACTGAAAAGCAAAAAATAATAAACCTTTTTATTTAACCTTAATAACTAAGTTCTTAAACTAATTTAAGTATACCTAAGTATATATTTTTGTAATTATTTTGATATTTTAATTAACCCTAATAACTAACTTCTAAAACTAATGTATGTATACCTAAGTAATTTTGAGTCGGCGCCTTTTTTTTTTGAGGTGGGATGCCGTTATAACTTCAATAAATCAAAACAAACCTAAAAACGTTTACTGTGTATGAGAATGTCGCCGCTCAAAAACTGTGACACTTACTGTGTCGTATATGCTGCAAGTTCTTCTTTGACGCAGAATAGTAATATTGGCTGATTTGTATATAGTGTGGACTTGAGTAATATTAGAGTCTATGAATAAATGTCCCTAATTTGCTCACATCAACACAAAGTTACTTACTTACACGTTCTAGGCTACCCGTGACCGATGAAATCCCAACACCTTTTCTTATAAAATAGAAGTGACGTGAGTGAGTTTTCGTAAGACTTTTTTTTACATGGGGAAATGCCTACGCATACCCGCCTCGCGGGGGCATGGACGGGTTATGTCGGACTCACACTGACTAAAACCCCATGGTGTTCCACCTTCGCCGCATATTGGCAGGACCACGGGAACGCTTTCGCACACATCCGCGGCCCCACCAGCGCCGGCCACCCCATGGCAGCCTCTTCTCGGGGGAGGACCTCTCCTCCCCATTCTCCTTCTCAGGTAAGGCACGCCAGGAACACAAGACATGCCCCCCTCCACGGCCTCTAACTCCACACGAGACTAGTGACGCCCACGGGCATCTACAACCAACTTTAAACAAATACCTAAGCTCTTAGACATAAAAGAGGGGGTATCCCCCACGAGATGGAGTGACGACCTGGTAAAACATGCAGGAAGTCGATGGATGCAGGTAGCTCAGGACCGTGATCTGTGGCATTCCTTGGGGAGGCCTATGTTAAGCAGTGGACTTATGAAAGGCTGTAATGATGATGAATGATGAAGATAGAAAAGGAGTACCACCTAATCGCGCGCTATATATTTATAAAGGCCTATCCCATATCATTTCGTGGGTGTCGTAAGAGGCGACAGAGGGAAACAAATTAGGAGATGCAGAGTCTTCTTAATAACTACTAAAAATAAAAAGCTGAGGTTGCCGACCCGCTTGCCAAGTGTGGTAACTATAGTAAATTTCTCCTTTATGAGGCAATCTATGGGGGAGGCCTATTGACCAGAGGCAGTGGACTTTAATAGCATGTAACGGTAAGTATAAACTATAACAGTAACTACATACTCACAAGCTGTCCCAAAAACTAACAATGTGTGTTACTGCATAAATTACAGATGCTTTGGCCGGGAAAATAACCCAAGACCGACGAAGGAATCAAGTGCTAATAGTCTAGGTTGAGCAATTATCCGAGAATACAATATGGCATTTATAAATAAAATACACTTGAACTCGTTTTAATTTTCAAGCCCTGTTACCAATACTGCTTTAAATGTAAATTGTATTTCCTCGTTTCCGTATAATAATCGCTTTGCCTGAATTTACATAAATTTATATGTTACCAAATGTGACGAGCCCCTGATTTGTTCATTGATGTGAATTTACGAATATAACCGGATTCCTAACAATATCACACATCGTAAAATGAGTCTTTATATTCGCATAAGAAGAAAAATTAAAGATTCCGGCAAGGGTAAGATCGGTTTAAGTTACAAGACAAAGCGATTTTTAAAGATATTTATTAGGTTTTAAAACACTCAGGTTAATAACTTAAAGTTTTTGTAAAATTTTTACGAGTTATGTGACTTAGTCGGCTCTAAGTCATCTCAATTTTCACAAAAAAAAAATACCAGCGTAAAATATGAGCTTAATGCTGCTGTGCTTCGTATAGTGAATTTAGAGAACCGAATACCCATTTACTAGAAACGTGGCATTCCGTCTTAGTCCTCAGGGGTAACAACGCATCTGCATTTTCATTCTTAATCGAGAATAATGTTTATGGGCATCAGCATCCACAGCATCTACTTAACATCAGGTGAACTGTCTACTCGTTTGCTCTTATTTTATTAATAAAAAAAACTCTCTTCAGTCGCCACCGGGTTTAAATTATCTTTTGGTTATTAAGAATATTCTCATAAAATAATAATAAGATCAGCCTTGAATGCTCATAGCCAACAATTTATCTTGCAAAAAAAAATTCTTTTCGCTTCTTTTTTACCCTACAAAACTGATTCCGTTGAAATGGAAACGAAATTTCTTCTTGTAGACAGGTTGTCACATAAATTCAATTTCTTGCGAGGAGGCTAAATGAAGCCGTCCGTCGTATCTTCAAATGGTCCCTTTTATACAAAACCCGCTGCGATAGATATTGCTGTTTTTATATACGATCCCTTATCGTATCCATAACAACGTACGACTTACTTTCTATGTTCTGTGATCCTGTAAGTACTCTAGACATTGAATATTATGTTTGATTTCCATTTTTGGCATTTTAATTAAAGATTTCAATGTTATTGTGAAACGTCCTTATAACTCACCTGTTTCTTTATAGGATCAGGGGGACAAACGAACACAGCCTAACTGATAGTAAATGGATGCTATATCTTATAGACAACTACATCTATCCTCGGTTGAGAATCAATATGCAGGTGCATTGTCACCCATGAAAACTAAGATGGCATGGCTCATTCCCAGTAAAAAGGGTCTCCGGTTCCTCTACACTCACCAAACGAGACAAAGCTACAATAATCTTTTATTTCATGCTGCTCTTCTGTAAGAGCATGGTTCTTCCCTGATCAAGCCGATGCATTCGTACTATAACTAACATGTAGCTGTAGCGTGGCTATAACACGTAAAAAAAAAACATTTTACATTTAAATTTGTTGGATAGCGACCATTGTAACTTATCGAAAACTAAGGTGTTATTCGGAGTGGGAATCATAGTGAAAATACTAATATTCATATTTCTCTTTTATTGTGTTCCTAGATTTGAAAACCAAAAGTAAAAATGCAAATGTTACGTTCTTTTCTCTTAAGGTGATCGCTTTTATGTTATATTTAATTTGTTTTGTGCTGTCAATGTGTAAAATATTTATCTTTATTACCATTTTCTAAAAAAAACGTCATGCTGGTTTTCTTGCTTGTTCTTCTTAGGACAAATGTATTTTCCAAACCAGTAGTAAACTAAACATTAGAGTGACCTGTAATAATTATTATTTATAGTCTACATTCAATTAACCCTGCATTAGTCGCGCGGGCTACATATGTAGCTCACCCCTATAAAAAAGGCAATTTCTCAAAATTGGTTAGTGCTAGCGTCCTGCGCCGCCAGGTACTTTCAAATGAATGTTCGAGAAATGCGCTCAGTGGCTCAGTGCAGCGCAAGAGCAAGTCACGCGCGGTTGTGTCACGGAAAGTCAGTGAAGTGCATGGACTACAACTGTAGCCCGCGCGACCAAAGACGTAAGTATTCTTGTCATAATGAATTATTTGGTTTTTATCTATTTTGCAGTAAAATGAACTGAAATGCATCATTTAAATTTTGTTTATTGGTTCGGATTATTGTTACATAATGTAGCTTTATGTTTTTAGGATATAAATGGATTATCGACGAGATGCACAGACTGAGGCATGGCTGGCTGAGGTTGTGGGCGAAATCGAAACTTATGAAGCTGAGTCAAGCTCCGACGAAGAAGTAGATCATCTAGAAGAGCAGGACCATCAATCGGAATCCGAGCAAGAGCAGGAGATTCCAAGCGAGATGTTGGACGAAAGCTCTGAAGATGATGAGCCGTCTCAGCGACGTCGGCGCCCAGATTTTTACTCCGGAGTGGACAATACGCTATGGTCAAAAACAGTTCCTCTGAACAGAGGAAGAACACGAAGACACAATATAGTATTTGTACCTCCTGGGCCTAAGGGAATAGCTCGAGAAAAAAACAGTATTGAAAACTGTATGTCGCTTTTTTTTGATGATCAGATAATCGGCCTTATTACTAAATACACTAATAAGAAAATTGACCATATCAAGGACAAATATGCAAGAGAACGAGATGTTAGACAAACAAATGAGATTGAAATCAGAGGCTACATTGGAATTTTACTAAAGGCTGGAGTAATTTGGAGAAGATCTAGTACTGCTCAAATATTTGAACACGTAAAACACACAGGAATCGACGCAATATATTTGACTATGTGTGAACAAAGGTTTAAATTTCTGTCAAGGGTTTTACGCTTTAACAATATTGAAGAGCGCCAAACTCGTGCAAGCATTGATAAGCTAGCGCCTATTAGAGATATTTTTGAATTGCTGCTTGCAAATTTTCAAAAGTATTTTGTTCCAAGTGCGGAAATGACATAGGATGAATAGTTGATAGCTTTTCGAGGCCGCTGTTCTTTCAGGCAATACATTTCCAACAAACCGGCAAAATATGGAGTGAAAATTTTTGCCCTTGTTAACGTTCATCATCCTTATACGTTCAATTTAGAAATATATGCAGGCCAAAAACCAGAAGGTCCATTTCACACAATGGCACAACTATGGTCGGCACAGTACGAAAAGACAAACGAGAAGTTCCTCGGGAATTTCGTGTCACAAGAGGAAATCCATTATGTTCTTCTAAATTTGGGTTCCACCCATTATGCACACTAGTATCGTACGTGCGAAAAGGAAATAAAGTTGTCATCTTGATGTCAACGATGCACAATGCCACAATTGATGCTGACTCTGGAGACAGTCGAAAGCCAGAAGTAATAACTTATTACAATAGGACGAAAAATGGAGTTGACCTTGTGGATAAAATGTGTTAATTATATGACATTTCGAGAAACTCTAGAAGATGGCCCCTTACGGTTTTCTTTGACATGCTAATTTTGAGTGCACTAAACGCATTGTGCATATACACAGCAAATAAAAACTATGAGAATATTTCCCGACGTGATTTCTTGATTGACTTGTCCTTGGCTTGGATGAAACCACTGGCTCATAAGAGAATTGAAAAAAAAATCGTTGCCAAGAACTCTAACAATAGAGATACAAGATTTTCTTGGCATTACATACGCAGAAACCCAACCAACTACCTCAACAGCAACATCGGGTAATGTTGTGCGCCGTTGCCATGACTGTGGAAGAGCGCGCAGTAAAAGCACCAGAAAGATGTGTACCGCGTGCCAAAAGTTTATATATGGGGATCATTAGAAGATACTGTGTTTTTCCTGTGCGGAAAATACAATTTAGAAGTTAGTTCCTACTAAAAGTTTATTTGTGATCTCAAAAAGAGCGATTTATGTGAGTTTTGTGCCATTTTAGACAAGTTTTTTTGTTTTTGTTGATTATTAGCAACACAGAGGTTGTGATTAAGTTTTGTTAATTATATTTTGTTAAAAAGACTGTAGTTATTATATTAACATTTTAATAATAAAAATTTTATGCTTATTTTATTTTTTATTTCAATTTGGAAATGGACTAAATATGTATCCCGCGCGACCACTTACGTGACTTTTATAGGCGCGACTACTGCAGGGTTAAAAAGTTTCTATTTATATTTTCGAGATGGTTATTACAGTTCACCTTTTACAATATTTACTGCAATTTATTAGTTGCTCTTCAAGACTTATGTTTACAAATAGTTTTCTTTGATATGACATTACAGCAAGTTATCATTGTAATCTAAAGCCTAAAAAAATAAAAAGGAATAAGTAAAACGATTTAAATTTTATCGCAATATTTACGGAATAAGTAATAATCACAAAAAATATGTTTAAATCATTAATTTCTCTGCAAAACTGATTGAAACGCTTAAAATAATATTACACAGTTCGATGTGAAAGCATTTTCTAAAAAAAAGTCCCTCTTTAATTTTGATACTTGGGGAGTGCTTTTAGCCGGGATGGAAGATGTGATTTAGATGTGGACAGGCGTGTCGCTGCCGGGAACAAAGTCAATGGTGCCCTGACTGCGTTAGTCAAAAGGCAAGGCGTAGCGAAGAGTGCAAGCCTTGCAATACATAACGCAGTGTTGGTACCGACTTTGTTATATGGCAGCGAAACCTGGGTATGCCAGAAGAAGCATAAAAGTAAGTTGAATGCAGTGGAGATGCGATCTCTTCGTAAAATGTGCGGCGTTACTATGGCCGACCGAAAGCGAAACGAAGAGATTCGCAATATGGCAGGTTTGAAAGATGACCTTATCACAAAAATTGATAAGGGCGTGCTTCGGTGGTTTGGGCACGTTGAGCGAATGAGTGAAGACCGAATGGTGAAGAAAATATATAGCGCGAAAGTTAATATTAAAAGGTGTCGAGGTAGACCGAGACTAACTTTCGAAGACCATGTGAGCAAATTGCTCGAAGAGGGTAGGGTCAAGAGTACTCGGATACCTAGACGTGCATGTATGAAGAAGATAATGAATCTGAAAGAAGCGAAAGAGATATGTAAGGATCGTGACACTTGGCGATCTGTTCTCTCTGGCTACCCCGTCAGGGATTGTGCGTGAAGATAAGTAAGTAAGTAAGTTTAATTTTGATAAATTGTAAATTATTTCACTTTAAAAATACATTGGCTTGTTAGTTGCATAAATATATCTTTTCAGGAAGTAATAGTAGAACAAGAAAACGAAAGTAAGCATTGGTTATTAATAAACTTTTTTTATAGGAGAGGGGACAAACGTGCATGCAGTGACTACCGCCGCCCATGAACAACTGTAACACCAGGGGAATTGCAGATGCGTTGCCGGCCTTTTAAAACGGAGTCAGCTCTTTTCTTGAAAGTCCCTTAGTCGTATTGGTCCGGCAAAATCGCTGGTGATAATCGATTCCACAGGGAAGTTGTGCGAGGAAGAAAACGTCTTCTAAATCTAACAGTGATGGATCGCCAATCATCCAGTTGGTATGGTATCGCGAGTTTTGTCGCGATACCGTCGCATGTGCGATGGTGAAATTGAGCGGCTGGAATTAGTCCGAATAGTTCTCAGAGCACTCCCCGTGGTACATGCGATTAAATACGCAAAGAGATGCAACATCTCTACGCAGTGCCAGTGAGTCAAACCGATCGGAAACGATTCGAACCGCTCTACGCTGGATGCGGTCAAGTGGAAGGAGCTGGCACTGGGGAGCCCCTGCCCAACGATGGGAACAGTATTCCATGTGAGGCCGAAGCTGCGCCTTGTAAAGTTGCAGGCGGTGTGCCGGCATGAAATACAGTCCCGATCTGCTGAGCACGCCAAGCTTTTTAGAGGCCAATTTGGCCTTCTCTTCCAAGTAACCACGAAACTGAACGTCACTTGACATGTCGACGCCAAGGATTCCGATACTGGCTGAGGCAACATGGGGAGTGCCTTGAAACTAAGGAGACACGACAAAGGGGTTCCTTTTAGCGGTAAACGTGAAATAATCATACTAATGTCCAGTAGACCGAACTTTGGTCACTTTAACCAGTCCCAACAGAGACCTTCTACGCAAGACAGGATTTAAGTGCACTAGTGTGTGTGTGTGTGCAAGCAGACGTGCACCCTCTATTTCTTCACTGTCATAAATAGATAGGATGGTAATCCGACCCGTCCGGAGTGAAATTGGACGCTGGACCAACGCCTTTACGTGGTTTCCGAGGTACGATGGTTAAACGCCGTCATGTTTCTGACTCCGGAAAGCTACTGAAAATTTTGCGATAGAAAAAACCAATAACAAATTTTGTTCCGACCGGTTTTTGAACCCAAAACCTCATGATCAAAAGTTTCACTTACGACCACTAGAGTGATGAGGCATTCAGCATAATAAAAATACATCACACTTAAACATGTTGTATTCTTCTTTAATTGAATTATATTACAACGTTTTATACAGGTTGTTTTTAGGAAAACATGCTTCACGTCTCCTGGTTTGTTTCCATGTCACCTCCTACGATACGTAGCACACGTAAGCATGTAAGCTTAGAGCACGTAAAATCATTGGCGCTTCTCCTGATTTCCCTCCGGTTGTGTCGGATTGCCATCCTATAGGACTACAAGAGTGGAATGAAATGTATACCTGTGCTTTCGCACACTTGCCTAGAGGACATTATCAACGTCCACTCAGCATCAAGTGGCTTGTGTCTCAATGGAGATTTGCCATCTGCAAAGGACAGGATTATAGTGAAGTATGCGCAAGCACAATTGTACTCCTTATTCCTTTACTCTCATAATCCAGTCGTTTCGGTTATCCGTTCCGATAAGCGAAACGATCGGAGGAGATCAGGTGCTGGACCAGCAGCTTTACATGCTTTCCGAGGCACGAGGGAAACACACCGCCAACTTCCTGACTCCGGGCTGCTTCTGAGAATTTTTTGACAAAAAAACTCAATAATTAATTTTGCCCTGACCCGAGATCTATACCTGGAATCTCATGATCGGAAATCGCGTTAACGACCACTACACGAACAAGACATTCAGTCTGAGCGTTACATAAATCCATATATTAACTGCGGTTTCCCGCAGTTAATATAAGCATTTTGTAAAAAAATGGATTAATGATAGTAATAATAATTTATTCATTAGGACTAAATAGGAATAGAAGTACAATTATATAGTACATATATTACATGTAGTATATATACCCAAAAGACAAACAGAATACAGGAGAATACAAAGGCACTTAATCTTCCGTACCTAATCGTTGCAGTTGTCACGGGTATGCCACAAGATTCAGTTAGAAATACGGAAACAATCACAATATACGTAAAACCAACTAATAATTTCTTACACAACGGTTTAAGCTAAGTTTTTAAACTTTACAATTGGGTTCTTTGACCTTAAGACATCTTTTTTTATTTACCAGCCCAAAGAGGAGGCCTTATCGTAACGCTTGGCAAGCAGATCTGCATTACCAGACGTCTTACACCTTTGACTCTGCTCCCCGTTATCGATCGCCATCTAGCGGAAGCCATGGGATCTTTCTGGCCTATCCCATAGTCGTCTCTTACGAAACTCACGGGACGAAATGGGCTGATGAACTCTCATCGCCACCACGCGGCAATTAATATACCAGATTGCAAAAAAAATCAAGGATATTCAAAGTTCCCGGAATAATTGTATCGGGTCTCGATTTTGGTCCTTGTTTTATTTATGTATATGACACCTTCACGATAAATGAGAAAATCGTAGTGATTGTGCTGTCCATATAAATAGTACATAAAAAATGAAAATTTCGTGTCATTAAATTTAAGGTCATTAAGTCATATTTCAATAACCCTATGCTCTCGTGAAGTTATATATTGTTTTAAAAACATTTTTCATAATCATTATTACAAATAAGAGGCAGATAATAATTATTACAAGATATATTTTATCGCTAATTTAAAAACCTTGGAACCGCCGTTATTGACAAATAG